GCCACCGCCTCTCTCTCGACGCACATGCTCTTGTCGACGCGGTTCCGGCGATCTTCGACCGGTTCGATTCCGTCACGAAACTCGCCCTCAAGTGCGATCGCCGATCAGATAGCATCAGCGACGACGCGCTCGGGGTCATCTCTCGGCGGTGCCCTAATCTCACCAGGTTAAAGCTGCGAGCGTGCAAAGAGATCACTTTCGTAGGTATGGCTGCTCTTGCTTCGAACTGTAGGAGTCTGAGGAAGTTTTCTTGCGGGTCTTGCACTTTCGGAGTGAAGGGGGTTGATGCTGTGCTTAGAGGTTGTCCTCTATTGGAGGAGATCTCAATCAAGAGGCTCCGAGGTTCTGCCGATGCTGTTGGGGATTTGGTTGGCCCTAGCGCCATTGCGAAGAATCTTAGATCTGTTTGTTTGAAGGAATTGTATGATGGGGAGTATTTCGGTCGGATGATTGTCGAATCGCCGAATCTTAAAACGCTTAGGCTGTTTAGGTGCTCCGGCGAATGGGATCATGTTCTTGAAGAGGTCGCCAAGAAAGCGGCAGGGATTGTCGAGGTCCACCTGGAGAAACTCCAGGTGAGTGACCGAGGACTGCTCGCTTTGTCTCTGTGTCCTGACCTCCAGGTTCTTCATCTCGTAAAGACTCCGGAGTGTACCGACCTAGGGTTGATTTCGGTTGCGGGAAAATGCAGGCTTTTGAGAAATCTGCATATCGATGGATGGAAAACTAATCGAATTGGCGATCAGGGTCTAATGGCCGTGGCAAAACGTTGCCCTAATCTGCAAGAACTGGTCTTGATCGGTGTCAATCCGACTTCGACTAGCTTAGGCCTTCTCGCTAGTAACTGTAGAAATCTAGAAAGGTTGGCTCTCTGTGGAAGCGAGACATTTGGGGATGCTGAGATTTCTTGCATTGCTTCAAAGTGCGTTGCTCTGAAGAAGCTTTGCATAAAAGGGTGCCCGGTTTCTGATCAAGGGATTAGGGCCCTTGTGGAAGGATGCCCTAATCTGATAAAGGTGAAGGTTAAGAAATGTAAGGGAGTAACGCCCGAGGGTGCACATTGGTTGAGAGCTAGTAGAGAAACTTTGGCTGTTAATGTAGAGTCAATGGTGCAGATGGAGGTACAAGACGCAAACTTAATTGAGAGCGGGATGATGGAGATCGTAGCGGGGGATCATGTTCTTGGACTAGCCGAGCAGATTGCTGCCATTGATATTCCTTCGACCAGCAAGGGTCGATCTTCACCGTGGAAAAACTTCTTGGCTTCAATTTTGAGGAGATGGGGCCATGGGAGCAGCGGTAGTGGAAGCAGTGGTAGTCTACCTATCCGATCAAAGGAAAGAAAATAAGTCTTAGTTTTTGCTTTGATATGCCCTTTAATTCTTGTTTACTTCAGCAGCAGTGTTATTGTTATTTCAGTTAGCCGCTTATGCTTTCCTTTGGAATGGGTTTGCTGGTAGTTTTACTGTTTGAAGTATTGTTATTTCAGTTAGCCGCTTATGCTTTCCTTTGGAATGGGTTTGCTGGTAGTTTTACTGTTTGAAGAAGATGCAAAATATTTTCATCATCATTCTGGTAGTTTTACTGTTTGAAGAAGATGCAAAATATTTTCATCATCATTTATTAGCATCCATAATTGTTCATTGCCTAATTCATTCTTATAACGTTGCTGATTGAAGTAAGATCTAGTGTTTATATCTTTATAACATGAATTCATTTTATTTACCTGTGTCAGATAGCAAACATTAGTGTGGTACTGCTACTTTGTTCATAGTGCCAATTCACATGAAGATATATTTTGTAGTCGGCTGTTTTTTACCCTAACCAGGAATCACAACCAATATATTTTGTAGTTGGCTGGTCTCAAGAATGATTGTTACTGACCTTTTTATTACAGATTATAAAACATGGAACGGATATAATATACCTATAACTATTTCATATTCGTTTGATCATCTAAAACTTTTAAGTTTATGACGATTGAGTCTGGACATTTTGAGTAAGGAGCATCTAGTGAATTTTTATGCTTTGTTTTTGGATTTTCATGTGGATTAGAATTAGTTTGAAGTCATAACATAAAACTGGGCCAGGACTGAACCTAACCCAAGTTCAGGTTAATTTATGATTGACAAAAATTTGGCTAATTTTGGCCTAGTTCTTTTTAGGCCAAAAATAGGCCTTAAAACCAGTTTAGTGTTGGACCAACACCCCCTTGTTCCACCTCTAAACTGGTTTAGAAAAGATGTAGGATTAGGATTGAAACTGGCATAATTTTTAGATGATTGCCAAACACACCTAGGATCGGTTTGGCAACTTCTTAAAACTGGGCCAGGTTTAATCCTGGTCCAGTTATAGAGTATTTCTTTGATTGGCAAAAACTAAAAACTGAGCCAACAATGGTCCAGTTTGTCGTAGCTCAACTTTGGGGCTCAACTTTGGGGTTTTAAACAGGTTTAGTTGTGGACTGGGGCGAGCTGGTTCATAACTAAACTGGTTTTATCCATAGCAAATTATAGAGCCAAACTCGCCCCATTTTCAATGAATTGCCAAATACACGCTAAGGTTTAACAAGTAACATTTTCTGTAACAATTTGGTTATCTGTTGCGATCAAATGTCACTATCAAACTTAAAATAAGTAAGGTCTAGTGTCTTAATAGAGACTTTTACTATTCTACATATTCAAAGTCAAGGACTTTGGAGAAAAAAGAAGCAGAAGTGTTGGCCAGAGGCTTGCCAAGTTGCTACGATATGTTTTGGTTGCTATGCTATCTTGCCGTCTCTTTTGTGTCCACTGTCCACTTGATTTTCCTCTTATGACACGCTCAATAATCTTTAGCTTGGCTTTGTCAAGCAGGACCTTATCATAATTTAAGAGTTCAAGTCTTTCATTTCACAGAACATGGTTATCTTATATTGTAAAAATGATTTAGAAGCACATACAGTGTGGTTTTTTTTGAATAATAAAATAATTTCAAATTTCAAATTTCTTTTGCTCTTTAAGTTTATACTTTGTACATGTTGGAAGATTGATATTTGCTGTAATATTTCATCATGTCAGTGTAGGTTTGGTACCATCTTGTATTAACATTTCACTAATGAGAGGTGATAGTCTTTTAATTTGCATATTCCATTATTCCATTATCTTAGAGTAGTATTTATGATTCTTATATGTTTGCATCTTATTGTTAAATGGGGAACTTAATAATATGCACTTTTCTTTAACTATATTCGCATGTTTATACATAGTGATGACTGCTTATTAAAACTTTATTTGCAAATATCCTGGTTGTTTATATTATGTTTTCTCTCCAGATACCTCTTCTGTACCAAATGTATCATTTAAGTGTTCTCAGGATCCAATAATCTTTATGTGGTACTGCTGTACTAATTCAGGGTTAATTCAGAATGCAATAGCATCACAAAGTTAATCTTCCCCAGCTGTTTACTATTATTGACCTAACTTTATGTAGTTTGTAGTAGGAATAGTTTACTTTTCAAACGCTTGAACTGCAATTGCTGGGAATATTCACGATTCAGTCAGAATCATTGCCACGCAACCTAGTGAAGTTTCTTAAGAACTCAAAAATGTTTCTATTTGACAAACTTGGTGAATTTAAAAAAATGTTTCAGTGTGTTATCGTTGATCAAACATTGTATAGTTGCATCCATAGATACATGACAACTTGGTAGGTCTTCAGGGCAATATTTCTGGAACAAAGTTGGCCATATCTTCTGTATCCCTTCAATAAGATGCCGTCATCATATATAAACGATCATATGAATTTACTTCTTTGACCAATTTTGTGGCATTTATTAGATTATTGATGATGAGGGTTTGATGGTTTATTTTGTTGTAAGCATACGTGATGATGTGATATTTCTTGGATATGGTTACCACTAAAATTCTTTTACATTTTTCGTTAGGCTTAGAGCCGTATAGTCAATTATGTAGCATGTAGCACAGAGGCTGTCATACTCAATTTTTAGACGGTTTAAGCAAATGAACGATACTTCCTTCGAGTATAGCGTTGGTAGATGACTAATATGAATGTCTTCATCAACTGTTGCAGCTTTACTTATCCTAGAGTTTGAAGATGTTACTGATTATGTTCATGTTTTATGATGTGGTTTTGTATGGTTCATGTAAATGCTACTCGTTAACTTATTTGATAAAATTATATCGATCTGGAAATGAATAAGCTTTGTGAAAATGCATGATGGAAATCATGGAATGAACTTATTGTTGAATATTTTCCAGTGCTGAGAAGAAAAATATTTATCAGAGAAAAAGGAGCAGTTGGCAGAGTGTTTGTTTATATGTTCAAACATTGGCAGGGTGTTTGTTCTGGAGATCAGTTCATCAGGCTGTCTCTGCTGCTTCTATGCGATCTATTGTAAAATTCTATTTCATACATATTCAGTTCAGTTTGCACGTTGGTTTAGTCTTTGACCAACAGATACTACGCCTGTAATAAAGTGTAAGCAGAATAAAATTTTATATAGTTTACATATGATTTTCATTATACAATGCCAAGAAAATATCATGAAAGTTTTCCTTCGTTTGGTTTAAATTGATCTTGTTCCATATCATTATGTTGATATTCTACTATCGTATTTGTTGATGTTAAGTGATCACACAATCAATTATATCCCTAGTTGGGTGGGGGTGAAGTTGATGAGAAACTGTTTCCTTCCTCGAATATCCAGTTCTGAGTTAAGTGGCTGAAGTCTGCACATATAGAAACCCGTGAGAGGACGGGGACCGGTTCTCCCGTGGTTCCTCCGATGGTCAAGTTAGTTGGTGAACTTGAGTGAGAAAAATGAAGAACCTGAGAGTTCTTGTGTGTGCAGTATAATTTGCAGATGTAGCTCAGAAAGTGGCGTTTTGTGCATTAAGTCAGAAGAAGGTTTTTGTTAGAATAGTACATCGTATTTATATTGATGGTATAAGGGTAGAACCGTTATTGTGACCGGGCACAGGATGATGGTGAAGAAGTATGGGCTGATGGCTAAGTCAGCTCCTGCTTTACAGGTGTCAGCTGGTGACTGGAGGAGAGATCACCTCAGCATTAAATGTGACATGATCTGAGGCATGGTGGCGTCAACGTGGTTCGATGAGTAATGAAGGCTATCGGGGCTAGAGGTATGATGGCGTCTGCCAAGCATTAAATGCGACATCAACGTTGTGCTAGCGGGAGAGGCTCGAGGTTGAAGTCGTCCTCTAGCTACGCCGAGAAGTAACGCCTTTCGAGTTGTCATCGTGAGGTGTCGAATAGCAGATCGAGTGGGCTCCTTATGAGTAGTCTTCGACAAGAGGGTCGGCTAGTACCTCTTTTCGAGTCGACATGAAGGAATGTCGACTAGGCAAGTCGGCTAGTACCCCTTGTTGGTCTTGGCCGTCAATTTGATTAGAGCATTGCATGCAGAAGTACACGTCCATTGTTAGCAAAGCGCTGCACTTTGGCGATTGAAAACATCATAACAGTATTGGTTATTATTTGTCTTGTATATATATGGAAGTTTTACGGATAGAGCACGTATGGAGAGAAATGAGATCACCAAATGAACAATCCACTTTGTGGAAGTTCAGAGGCTATGAATTACACTCATTAAAACGAAACAAATATTCCCATATGCAACTAAGAAGTTACTAATGTGTCAGTTTTTTACAATTTTGGGTATTAAAATATTATTTTTTATAACTTAGGATATTAAAACGTTGTCTTTTTATAATTTAGGGTCGTAAGTACAAATTTGGTGGAAAAAAGGGGTATTTATTTAGGGCCTGTTTATTTGCCCAGAATTAACAATGTAGTGATTTATAAGTAGAGCCCACTTATGCTACTTTCTGAGGAAAAAAAAAAGTTATGTTTGTTTATTAAAAAAACTGCTTCTATCTTTCTTATACTTTGTTGAATGTTGACGTGAGGTTATGTGGCACCTCTATTCCGTATAATTTTTTCCGCTCCTAATGCGTCGAAAGTAGGCCTGAAGTAAGAGATTTCGAGCGTGGGGTCCGCGTGAACATTGGGTTAGACGTGAAATTAGGGATAGTAGAATCATTAGATTGGCAATCCCCTCTCTCTCTATATATATATTAATATATATACACATTTCAGCTCTTTTGTCTCTTTCGCAAAAAAGCTGGCTCAGGCTTGAATTCGACGTCCTCATAACATAATCCCAAATCGTTATATATATATATATATATATAGAGAGAGAGAGACAGAGG